GACAGGCAAGGAATAGGCGCAACAAAGACTATGGTGCAAGATATAGCTAATGATCTGCTTGCTGCACGTGGTGAAGGACCTGTTAGCAAGCTCTAGGTAAACAGGTTTAACACACGTACCTAACAAATTAAGCTTCAATGTAGCTAACCATACAATTGTTAACAAGCCCTAAATAAAGATACACACGTTATAACGCCCTAGTTTAAGCTAGTTAGGAATATAAAGGAGAAGTACAGAATCCTAGATAGAGATACCTACAACTTTAATAAGACTAGGTTTATAATAGGCATAATTAGGTCTAAGATAGTGTTCACAGGCTTAGAGAAGCGATCTAACCCTAAGAATATCTAGCCTAGCAATTAGGAGTGGGTCACAATTATTATTAGTGTCTGCGCTGCTAGCTAGGCTATCCCACCCTTTATTATCTTCTAAGGCAAGGTCCTAATTACAACCTAGTACCCTAATCTGCCTTGCAATTAGGTAATTGCAACTAGCAAGAATAGCTAGACAATAAACAAGCTTAGTCTAGAGTAGTTAAAGTACTTTAACGCGTCTACAAAAGAGCGTACTATTAGTGCCTACTATCTGCTTATTATTAATAGCTACAAGAGCTACAACTCTACAGAGTTTAAGGAATACTGTGCAGAACACAAGATTATTACCTTGTGTATGCCCCTACACTTGTCGCACCTGTTGCAGCTGCTTAACGTGGCCTGTTTTGGCCCCTTAAAGAGGGCGTACTTAATTAAGGTTAACGCCTAACGTAAACCCCCAGCACCCAGGCCAACCCAGCACCCGGGCCATTTCTTGCCAAGACCACAACTATTAATATTAACACGTAATGCCTTGCTAACAAGATGTGCAATTATCTAAACAAGAGGGTAGAATTAATCTTGCCCTTTCTACTTTCTAATTACATAAATTTAAAAGCCTCTAAAGCGCTGCTTAGGCATTTAACATACTACGTACAACCTTAAGTGCTAGGTATAGAGGCAGACTCTATATTAACAATAGACACAACGCACAACATAAGCTTACGCGCACTAAAGAGCAAACAATCGTACAATACATTCTTGACCTCAATTCGCGAGGATTCGCGCCCTGGCTGTGCGAGGTGGCAGATATGGCCGACAAACTGTTGGGTGTACGCGGTGGGCAGCCTGTTGGCAAGCACTGGGCTGAGCGCTTCGTGACGCGTTCAGCTACGCTCAAGATGGCCTTCAATCGAGCTAAAGATAGGCAGAGGATGCTGCAGGAGGATCCAGAGACAATCAGCGCGTGGTTTAAGCTAGTAGAGGACACAAAAGCTAAATACAGCGTACACGACCACAACGTGCACAACTTTGACAAGACTGGCTTCTAGATAGGTGTTATTGGCTTAATAAAGGTTGTTACAGGTGCAGAGAGACGTAATCGACCTCAGCTTGTTCAGCTAGGTGATTGCGAGTGGGTAACAGTCATCCAGAGCGTCTGCGCTGCTGGATCTTGTACCCTGCCTTTCATCATCTACAAAGGACGCGTTCACATCTCTGCCTGGTACGAGGAGGCAGATATACCACGCAATTGGAAGCTCTCCGTCTCCGAGAGCGGCTGGACGAACAACGCGCTCGGCCTTGAGTGGCTGAAGCACTTCGACGCGCATACAAAGGCGAGCCAGGTGGGGGCGTACAGGCTGCTCATTTTGGACGGCCATGAGAGCCACCTCAACCAGGATTTTAAGGACTACTGCCTTAAAAACATAATCCTTACCCTCTGCATGCCACCTCACTTATCGCACATCCTCCAGCCGCTTAATGTAGTCTGCTTCTTGCTGTTGAAGCGCAAGTACTCTTAGCGCGTACAAGACTTGGCACGCAAGCGCGTCTTCTACATTAACAAAGAAGGCTTCCTCCCTGCCTTTAAGGACGCGTTTTTTAACGTGTTTACAGCAGAGAACTGTCGCAAGGCCTTTAAGGCAGCAGGGCTAGTCCCTCTTAACGCGCAGGTCGTGTTAGATCGCCTTAAAGTGCGCCTGCGTACCCCGCCAGAACCCCTCCTCCTAGAGACGCCGTGGCAGTCGAAGACTCTAAGCAATACCCACGAGTTTGGATCTCAGTCAAAGCTCGTACGCGAGTCTTTTACTTGGTCGCCTATTACTGCGCAAGCAGGCTTCTCTTAGCTTGTTAGAGGCGGCGAGCTTATGCTGCATCAGAACGCGCTTTAAGCAGCCCGGATTACTGAGCTTGAAGAGCAATTAGCAGTAATAACTAAGCAGAAATCGCGCAAAAGGAAGCAGATCTAGCAAGGTGGTACTATAGAGTATGGTGAGGCAGCAGCTCAGGTGGCCGCAGAGGCCTCTGTAGCCGCTGAGCGGTCAAAGAAGGCTTGTGGTGGTGGTAATCAAGAACAAGCTTAACTAGCTCTACAGCACTGTAGAAACTGTAGAGGGACTAGACACAACGCGCGAACGTGTAAAAAAGATATAGAGGCATATTCTAAATTAGATATGAGCACAGTGTACGCAGGCTCTATGTTAAATAGCGATGAAATTGAAGAGTTGTAACGTGAGTTGGTACTGCCAAGCTTTTTTGGCCCGGGTGCTGGGTTGGCCCGGGTGCTGGGGGTTTACGTTAGTTATAATACTTAAAGACACAAATTAAGAAAGAGTTCTTCCTTACTAGCTTCTAGACAGCCTATTACAAGGCTATTACAAAAGACAATATCCACAGAGGCTTTAGAGGCGCAGGACTAGTTCCTTTTAACCCAGAGCGAGTGCTATTGAAGCTTGATGTGGTCCTTCGCACGCTAACACCACCACCACTAGAGACTACCCCATGGGAATCCAAAACACTAACCAGCGCAAAGGAGGTTGAGTCATAAACGTTGTATATCTGTGAGCGCATGCGATTGCACAGAGATTCGCCCCTGTCTCCTATTATGAAATCACTTGACTCGCTTGCTAGAGGGGTTGCGCGGATAGACTATGCCAACATGTTGCAGAGAAGGGAAATAGATAGCATAAAGAAGGCTATTAAGGCTCTAACAGCGCAGCGTGGTCGCAAAAGAAAGCATATCTAGACAGAGGAGGCTCTCACAGTTGGTGAGGTACAGGATATAATAGCTAAGAAGGATGGTGGTGGTAGTAAGGCATCTGAACAGTCTGGGAAGAAGGTGCGCAAAGAGAGGCACTGCGGACGTTGTAGCAAGACTAGCTACAATTTGCACACCTGCACTGCAGAAATATTAGATGCAGATAATAGCGCTGCTTCTAAAGAGTAATTATAGCAATTGTAAGTATTAGTATAGTGTTATAGTTAAGCGTAATAGTTGTGTAATAGTTAGTGACTCTAAAAAAGTTGGTGAGGGGTGGCAGTTTGGTGATACCTGGCGGCTTGGTGATAAACCACGTTATCTAAATATTACATTATTATGTTGTTGAGATATATGATTGTAAAGGTGCGCAAAGTTGGTTGGGTGGCTCACTCGCTTCGATGGCTCACTCGCTTAGTATTTTCGTTATAAGGAGTTAACGCCAAAGGATGGGCTATCCCACCCTTCCTTATCTTCCCTAGCAAGGTCCTTATTACCTTATAGTTTTACAATCTACCTTAGGATTAGGTAATTAAGGTTAGTCCTAATAGCTAGACGTTGAATAAGCTTAGTATTGCCTAGCTAAAGCACTTTAATACCTATACAAAAGACTGGAAGGTGGGTGCACACAGGCTGCTAATTGTGGACAGCTATAAGAGCTACAGCTTACATAAGTTCCACAAACACTGTATGTAACAACGCTCTACGAACAGTGACCCGATACCACTAGGATACGGTTCTAGCGACTCATGACCATGGCCCTTGTTGCATGGCATGAGCTCACACTAAACTGCCACTAAACCCTTATATATAAGGAGCAAGGAACTGTAGCATTGTAGAGTAGTTTTTCTGTATCCTTTTGTACAAGACCTATAGGTGTAGAGAATATATCCTGGTGTTC